TTGAAGCAGGCTTAGTGGTTAAACTGAGAATATTGTTTCTCTTCACTACACCTCGATCTTTTACCCAAAAGAAGACATAAAACTCTGGCTACATTTGATAAGTCTTCCTGTGGCCTGTACTGTGTCTGTAAAGCAAAACATGCATGTGTGTGTTCTGAATATTTTGGATTCTCATTCAAAAAAGTAAATGTTGTGTTGGTGTGTACTTTCTGTATTTGCAACTCTGGAGATATTTTGCGAGTCCCTTAATGCCATAATCTGCATGGATATAGCAAGCTTTAATCTTTTGTTGGTAAGATTCTTCAGTTTTTATTAACAGAAAAATGTTTTGTGGAAACTTTTTCCTAATGAAGTCGTTTACTAGGTTTTCAGCTGAGATGCAGCTGTTACAATGTGGTGATACTCTGATTCCTACTGAACACATTTTGTAACTAGTTCTTGAAATATCTTTTCATAAAGAAAACAAATAAGATTATAATACTGTACAAATGGAAACTTTTAGGACCATAAAGTGACACATCCAATGCTATTCAGTCCTAGTAACAGAACTTAAGTCTTCTAAGCCCCAGTCTCATGTTTTCAGCAGTAACTGTGGGAGTCCTCTGCATTCTCAAAATGTCTCTTGTGCTTTTACTATGGGTTGTAAGACTGATGATTGATCTTGGGAATATTTAAGCCAGCAGGTCAAGGGAGGTGATTCTCCCCCTCTGCTCTGGTCTCATTAGACCCCACCTGGAGTGCGTCCCGCTGTGGAGCCCCCAGCGTAAGAAGGATGTAGACTGGTTGGAGCGAGCCCAGAGGAGGCCATGAAGATGCTCAGAGGGCTGGAGCACCTCTGCTATGGGGACAGGCTGAGAGAGTTGGGCTTGTTCAGCCTGGAGAAAAGAAGGCCCTAGGGAGACCTTGCAGCAGCCTTCCAGGTTCTATAAGCTGACTGGGCATGGAACAGGCATTGTAGATATGGTCCTCATCTCAAGTCTTAGGTGTTTTATGATATTCTGGTTACAGTAGCTTGAAGCATGGCATTTAAAATGTTTTCTTCTCTCTCATTTTTTTTGTCTTAATCTGCAGTGGTTCCAAAATGTGCACCTCATATTCTTTCTATTCTTCCTGTTGTATCTTAAGTTGAACAAGAATACATTCTGATGGTTGCAGAAATAAAAGGAGCAGGAGCTGTTGCCTTGCACTGAGCAAGTAGTTTCTGGTGCTGAGAGGTTTGGGTGGTGTAAAGATTGCAGCAGAAGACAGGCATTTCTCAGATGAGAAAGTATGGCTGCTCCATTACTAAGGTTTTGGCACTACAGGAGTTTCTTGTTGCTGTCTGTTATCTTGCTGTCTCCTAAGTAACATTTACTAGAAAGTGACATAGAGAGCTTTGTGGGCTGTGGCCTAAGCTGTGCAGTAACTGAAACTTCTGGTTTGTACAGGACTTGTTATTCATAATCTATCTAGCGCACTTGCGCCTTCATTCTCTGATGTGTCATTATCTCCTATATTTCCAAGTTTTTATTATTGGCCATATTGGTTCTTAAAAGTATGTAAATCTGCAGTGAGACCAGACTGAAAGTGACATACAGAGAGCTTTGTGGGCTGTGGCCTAGTTTTTATTATTGGCCATATTGGTTCTTAAAAGTATGTAAATCTGCAGTGAGACCAGACTGAATTTTGCTTTGAGAGACTGTTGATGCCAGGACATATATGAGGTTGAGCTGTGTGGTTTATCTGTCAGCCTCTTTAATTGTCATTGGTAATCTTGACATCTTCATAAACACTAATTCCTGGAAAGATTGTAATGAGAAATCAAAACAAACTGGACTAGACACGTGCTAACTGTGACAGTGATTTCATTGATCAGAATCCATTTAATGATCTGGTGTTCTCTTACCGATGGTACTGGGTGCTAGATTTGTTGGGCTTATATCCATACTCTAATACTTAGTGGGTAGAGCCACTTGTTGTCATTACCAGCTGCAGTTCTATTTATATTAGATTGCTTATCAGAAGTTACAACTGTTTGTTCATCAGTGAGAGTGTATTTTTTCACTCTTAGATCTGGCAAGGCTAAGTGTTAAACCTTCATTTTTGTACATGGAGTTGTCTGGTGGTGTCACAGTTTCCCCCAGTTAACTCTTTCTTGACTGAAACCAGCACAGTAGAGAAGGAGTTAGAAGTGATACCAGTACTCAGATGCAACACTTCAGTCAGGGGGCAACTTCAGGAAAAATGTTCTTTGCCAAAGTCGTGATGAGATGTCCCAGTTTACACCTGTTATTGTTTTGCTGTCTCAAACTTACACTCATACAGCTATGAAAACCGTTCGCTATCAGCATCTGATGCTGTGCTGGGGTGAACCTGCACTTTCCGCAAGAGCTTACTGCCTTGTCAGTTAATTACAGAAATTGCTATGCTACACACATGGCTAGCAGCATGCCAGCTGTGTATACCTTGATCTCAGGTGTCCAAGTCCTGATTTATTCTGAGAAGAAATATGGTTGTCAGATTATTTGGCCTTTAGGCTAAGTTTGTCTGATGTATAAACTTGGCTAAATACATTTGCTGTATTTATGTTCTGCATGCAATTAAATGAACCATATTAAAACCATTTTGTTTTGAGAAATGTTTGAGTTAAAAACATTCTCCCAGGCTTTCTTCAGGCGGCTGTCAGATTTGCAGTTCGCTTTTTAAAGTTTTTATTGTCTTGGATTTTGCCTTTGATTCAGTGAGGTGTGTATTTTTTCCCAAAGTTATCCAAGAGTTATGGGTTCCTCTGGCTATGTTAGCTGTACTTCTGGTTCCTTTGAAGTTTCAAAATTAATTCTCAAGAGCGTTACGTAGTTGCGTGTGTGGGGGAAGATTTTATTTAACATTTGAAAGTTGTTTACCAATATGTTCTTAAGCATTACAAGTTCAATAAGCTATGTATTTAATTTTTTTCTGAAAGGTGATTATCACAAAATGTACCTTACTGTTTATGACAGCTTTCATAGAGCTTAAATATCTGGGAAAGGTTGCGTTTAAAGGTAAGAAAACAAGAATTTTGTGTTACATGTATTGAAGACAGGTCTGTTAGCAGGAATCTGAGACCATTTTTTGGCCATAAACAAATATTCTTTAATTAAACTGCAGAAAAGCAAAAGAATGTGGGTGAGGTGGAAGGAGGTATCCTCAGGTAGCATATTTCCTGGAAGTTTCATAATCCAGAATGTTAGTGTGAAACAGAACAAAAGTAAGTATGTAAAGGGTTCCCTGACCAATAGTCAGTTTTCAGTAATGTTCCAGAGAAGATGAATTCATAATTTTAAAAACACGCATTTCAGAGAACTGAGTTATGGTTCTCAGGATTCATGAATTGATTTTTATCTTTCTTAACTAGTATTATAAGAAAAATATTTTTGTTATTGTGATTAGGATTCTGTGCTCCTTTAGAGGGTATTGTATTTTGTTAAATCAGTTAAACAAATTTTGAAGAAATCAGAACAGTTTAAAATTACAACAAAATAGGGATGAAGAAGAGATTTCCCTCTGGAAAAGAGGGCATGAGTACATGTGATAAATATCCAGGTAAATTACAAGACAAGTTAGAAGAGGGTATGGATCACTTATCCACACTTCTGAAAGAATATGGAACAATGGTTATGAAGGGGCCTGCAAAGCAGAGAAAATGTGGGACTCAAATAGCCTTGTATAACTCTTCTCTTTGCAGATGGTTGCAGTTTTTGGTTTGGTACCTATAGATATGTAAACAGATTTGGATTTTCTTTAGAATACTGCTAGGCAACCATCATTGTAGTTCTGCAAAATAACCTAAGAGAAAGCAGAGAAGAAATTTAAAAACAAACAAACAAAACCACAACAAAAAAACAACAAAACAAAAATCCAAAGCTTGTATTGAAACATATGCTAGCTTGTGTTGTGGGTAAGTTGCTGAATGTGCAAAAAGAGAACTCCGAATCACAGTGTAGTGTCCCTTACTTATGAAGTGCTAGTACAGAAAGACTGTGGTTCCTAGTTGATGATACGCTTAAGATGTAGAAATAACATTTTTTCCTTGGGTGGTTGTTGAGGATTTTCTGCAGGATTGTGGTCATGTAGAATCTCTGAGCCTGAGCAACCCTGGCTTCGGCCTAGAGCAAACAGGACACTACAGGGCCTAGAAGAGAATGAACAGTGCCTAAAAGAGAAGAAACAATGTTACAGCAAGAAGCTCTGAAGGTCTTGGGAATGAAGAACTGTGAACACTCACAAGCTCACAAAACTGCTGCAGCTGACCAAGCAGAAACTGCAAGAGGCTACATGAACAAAGCTTGCTTATAGCAAAGAGGCTACATGAACAAAGCTTGCCTTTAATAAAGATGCTACATGTTTTAACAAATAATATTAGCTAGGAACCAATCATAATCAATGACATATGTGCTAAGCATTTAACAAGTGTATAAAAAGGCATGTAATTCTGTAATAAATTGGCTCACATCGATCATATTGATCATGGCGTGAAGTCCGTTATTTCATCCCTCGCAACAGGTTGTTAGTTTTTTTGTGTTCCCTAATTCAGCGCTTTTTCATGCATTTCTATCTATGTGCCTTTACATTAGAGATCATCTCTTAAGTTAGTACTGCTGCTGTCAAAATAATGCAATATAGGATTTTAGGATTGTGGGTACTGCTGTTAGTAACTCTGCTTCTACATGAGAGCCAAAAAGTCAGACAGGTAGGGCAAGTCCACTGAACATTATTATGAAGCTACTCAACTTCTGTTTTCAGCTATGTTGTGCTTACAGTCCTGTGTATTGTACCCTTTCATTTATTCTCTGTATTTTTGAAATGTACAACTTCATTTTTGATCTAATGAGGGGTGTTACCACCTCATGATGACTTCTGTTATTAGAAATACGCTTTACTTTTGTCCTCAACATTTTACTAGATGGAGTTAATGCTGAAATTATTATAATTATTGGATTTTAACTCTAGAGTACTCAATGTTTGTTTTTTCCTTATCTTTTAGAGTGAAGACTGGAACGGCTAGAGGGACGTGTGTAGCTGCAGGTATGAACCAACTATAGGTTGTATCATAGAATCCCAGAATGTTTTGGGTCGGAAGGACCCTTAAAGACCATCTAGTTCCAACCCCCCTGCCATGGGCCGGGACACCTTCCACTAGACCAGGTTGCTCAAAGCCTCGTCCAGCCTGGCCTTGAACACTGCCAGGGATGGGGCATCCACAGCTTTTCTGGGCAACCTGTTCCAGTGCCTCACCCCCCTCTCCGTGAAGAACTTCTTCCTGATATCCAATCTAAATCTACCCTCTTTTAATTTAAACCCATTACCCCTTGTCCTGTCACTGCATGCCCTTGTAAAAAGTCCCCCCCAGCTTCCTTGTAGGCCCCTTCAGGTACTGGAAGGCTGCAGTAAGGTCTCCGCGGAGCTTTCTCTTCTCCAGGATGAACAACTCCAATTCTCTCAGCCTGGCCCTCCTGGCCCTCCTCTGGACTCGCTCCAGCCGGTCTATATCCTTCCGATGTTGTGGGTTCCACAGCTGGATGCAGTACTCCAGGTGGGGTCTCACGAGAGCATAGTTGAGGGGGAGAATCCTCTCCCTCGATCTGCTGGCCACACTTCTCTGGATACAGCCCAGGATACGGTTGGCTTTCTTGGCTGCCCGGCAACCACGCCCGCTTCTGGCTTTTCATCCACCGGTACCTCCAAGTCCTTCTCAGGGCTGCTCTCATTTGCATGTTGGAGCTTCCTCTCAATGGTTTAGAGTGTTGTTTTTACTTTCAGTGATGAAAGGAGTCATTTTCCACTGCAGTGAGCAGTGTTTCCTGGACCTTAAACTCTTCATGGTTTCCTGCCTTTGTACTGCTAAAGGGGGTTGGGAGTGTTAACTGTTAGGACTGCGAGTACCAAGTCAATAGGCTTCTTTAGCTTCATCTGTAATTTAATAATTTTAGAAACATAACTAACTATAAAGTAAAAATTCATGTCTTCATAGTATTTTCATGACCAGAACAAAACTGAAGTACTATGTAGTATGTGAAACCATAAAGGTGAGTATTAGTAGAATAACTGGGCTGAGACACATTTGGTATGTGCAGCAGAACAGGAACCTAGTGTAATGTGAGAATGCTTAGAACAAAAAACAAGGGTCTTCTGGTGCAGTTTTCTTAATGCCTGAAGCCCAGTAACAGTGTACTTTCATGTGATAGCTGAGACTATTCCTCCTTCCTCAGTTACTCAGTTTCCAAGTGAGCAGTCCTGTGTCCTTCTGTTATACTTGGTTCTCATGGTAGTTTGGCTGCATGGTAGTCAGCTTGATAACCTAATAAAAAGTTCTTTTGTGATTACGTTGTTATTTGTTTGCTTTAACAAGTTGGAATGATTTACTGTGTAGTCAGACAGGTACCCAAAGAATAGATCAGACTGTCTGTAACTGTGCTGCTTAAGAGTTTTAGCTCACTCTGAGGACAGTTGACCTGTAACTGCTGTAACATTTTCATGCTCAAAGTGTGGTGATTGTTGCTTTTCTGATGAATCACCTCTGCTATGGCAGAAATATTTAAGGTGTGCTTTAGTCTGTAGACCACCAGGGAGAGTTGAGTTTTGATTTTGTCTTGAGGAAACACTTGTGATCAGACATTTGCTACTGTTTTCATAAATAGATGGGAATGGATTTAGTCATGTCTATATTAGAAAGAAAATCAAATTTGTCTTTAAAAGTGCAGGATATCCTGTCTCTCAGGATAGAAAAAGCTAAAGGTGGATTAAGATACCCAGGAACACCTTCATTTTAAAGTGATCTTCAAAGAATTGGACATTGACCTCTGTGTTTAGAAGTACTGGTTTGAGGACATTGGTGTCTGTGCATTTTGGGTGTTGGAAAACACTCAACTTGGTTCCTAAATGACTGGTGCTCACTGTGCCCTTCCTGCTCCTTTGCTGCTCCATTAGGACCATACAGAAGATAGGAAAGAGAGAATACTGGTCATTATATTTGTGTTTTTGTTTGAAGAGTTTGTATCTTTTGACACAGACTCTGATTAGACTTAGTTATTCAACCTGATAGGATTCTGCCAATTACAAAACACAAGTCCACAGTCAGTAGATTTGAATTGCTTAAATAACAAAATAATTAGATCATTTAAATAGCAAAATAGTCAAGTTTATTGTTGGTGAAAAGTTCAAAATGGAACACTTCCATTTGGTGGAAAATCCATTGTTTCTCAAGAGCAATATGAAGTTCAGTTAATCTGCCTTAATGTGAATGTAGAAATGTGTCCAAATGAGAGATGATTGAGTCTTTTCTTGAACACCTGATAATGGTGTATAAAACTGTATGTATCCAACTATGAAATGCCTCTTACAATGATTAGCTACACAGAGATATATCAAAATAAAACTGATGGCATTCCATTTCTGGTCTGGTACAGAAAGTAAAACTATGGGGGAGTCAGCTTTGCTTTGAGATAAGGAATCAGTTGGCTTTTGAAATAGCACTGGGTTTTGTTCCTCACTTTTTTGGTAGCTGCTGTCTTTAACCACCCAAGGTTTTGGACAGAGTTTACTCTGAGGCTCAGGACTGCTTCTTCTATTAGGAAATGTATATGCCACACTTTGCCAAAGCAGATTAAACAGTTACTCTTCTGCCAAATATTACAAGTTAAAGGCATTTTTGATCACTGTCGTTCTTGCGTAGGGTAATACAACAATCTTCATAAGTGGTATTGTTCTGGAATTGCATAGCAGGTTCTATAGTCTCCCCTGGGTCCAATATGCAACCACACAGCAAACCTCTGTGTAAGTGTACTTGCTTTGCCCGTTGTAGTGCTTTGTGGCATGCTTGGCGTGAAGACAAGCAGACTGTTCAGAGATTTCCAGCTCCTTAGCATATGAATAACTTTTGGCTCTGTTTTAGTGGCAGAAAACTAACCTGTGTAGTTGATTCTTGAAAAATCTCTCTAGCAAATATTGCAGCAAAGCAAAATGTTTGTTTCCAGCACATCTTTTTGACTAAGTACTGAGCTGCAGATTCCTATAATACAGGAGAAGACAGCAAAATACAGGCCTGTTTGAAATCAGATTTCTGGGTCTTGTGTTTGTATTTAGAAAGTAAAAAAGTTGAAGGAGATCTAAAGTATTGTGTTCCGTAGAATTGCTTGCATGGTTTTCTTTCACAAAAAGCTGATAGACCCATAGGTAAACTTCCGTCCAACCTTAAAAGAAAGATTGTTTTTGTAAGCTCAGAGGCAACATTTGGGGAGAAAAAAGGAGGAAAAAGGTGGTGTAAGTGGATCTAGACCTCTGCTTTTAGGGCATGGTAGCTTTCAAGCATTAGTATTCTTAGTCCCTTCTAGTAAAGATTTATCATCCATACTCTCTGTGTGCCTCATGGTCTGAATTCAGTCAACAAGCAAAAAGAAGAGGGCGGGAGAAACTCAACCTTGCTGCTGTCTTACATATTCCACCCTGTCTCCTTTTAGTAGTTCCTGTCCTTCCACAGGATAGAAATGCGTGTCCTCACTTCTTGCACTCTTATTTCCTGCCTTGTCTCTTGGTCTCTGTCATACTGCTGCCGTTATTTCCTCTTACTATTGTTGTGACTAAGCCACTTTTCCTACTTTCTCAAGAAGTTTTTTTTTTTTCTGTCTACAGTGCCAAAGCATCTATGGATCTTTCAGAACTCTCTTAGGTACTTAAGTTTCCATAGTCTCTGTTGCAAAACAGAAGCGTTGTTGTATTCTAGTACTGCAGTGACAGAAAGTCAAAATGCTTCCCAGACTGTCTTCTGGAATGTTGGCAGATGTTTATACTAATTTTTAACTGAAATTTTCTTTTGCATGCCTTCCTGTAGAGTTTAAGCAGTACTTGAAATACAGCTTTTACATCTATTTACAAAACAAACAAAAACCCAACAACCAAAAAGCCGTAACCTACCAATAAGGATAAAACGACTAAAACTTTTCCAGGTGGTGTTGTTGTTGTTTTTGACATTTATATGCCTTCCTAGAATGAGTGGAAGAAACCTATATGCTTCTGCTTTAAAAGCAATTTCCCTGGGATTCATATATCAGTGCTTCTTCCTCATATCATTATTAATTGTAAAATGTCTTACAAGGAGGGATAAAGATGTGATGGTTACTCCTTGTCTGTGATTTGCCAAAATTAAGTATTCTAGGGAACCTACGTTAAGGCTTGTTGCTATCTGTTCTACAAGTACAGATGCTCTAATAGTTTGCTGTGCATTAATTGCTCCAAATTCATGATTTGGTCTCTTGGCTATTTGTTCATCTGCTTATTTGCTTTGTTTCTAGTATCTTTCATACAGTGTCTTCTCAGCCAGGCCTTTGTTGTCTTCTTTGCATCATAGGAAGTTTTATTGTGTTGTGATTTTTTTTTTTTTTAAATTCAGTGTTAGTACCAAGGAATAGCTGATAATGCTGATTTGTGTCTCCCTCTCCATTCCCTTAGTCTGAAAAAAATGAGGAAATACGCAAGATAATGAAACCATTTAGCTGGGACAGAAATGTAATGCACAGATCACCATTCTGAAGGTTACAATTGGGAACTTTAATTACAAAATTGAAGTCTAAAGCTAGCAAAAGAAAATGTTTTACACTATAAGGGAAAGACCACGATCCAGGTACCTCTCTTGGTTTTTTTCTATGAAGTTCATGAAGTGTTTAATGTATCACTGAGGAACATGTATAAGAAGGAGGTCATTAAACACTAATGAACAGATGGAGTTTCTAGGAAAATATTTTAATTTGAAGATTTTACTTACATGAGCATATTTTTTTTTATTTATTTCACTGTGCTAAAGTAGTAGACTATTATTCTAACGCTGCACGAGTACTCTCCCTGAAAACAGGGTGGGCAGGTACTGGCTGCCTTTGGAAAAGTCCAGGTAAATACTAACTGAAATTGTCACTCTGTAAGTGGCACTATTGCAAAGAGTGACATTTGAAGTTCTTTGGTGTTTCTATGTTTGTGGAAAAAAAGGATTAAATAGATACTGATTCTGGAAATCAGCATTGTGATATACCTCAAAA